CAGGATGGCGCGTGACCCTTGTTACGCAGACTGGTTACCTGCGTCCTATTTGCCATTCGCAAGGGACGCCGGGAACCAGCGAATAGATCACTCGATATGTCTTCAAATGAACCATTTAAAAGTGAAATACATGAAATGCAGATTTCGCTACCTTAATAAGTACCCCGATAAAATATGAACAAAAAAAGTGACTGGGTTGTTTTCTGTTATACATAATCCTGCGTATGTTTAATGGTCCATTAAATATAGTTTGACAATTTCACTCAACACTTTGAATATTAATAGTTATCTGTTTCATGGGCATTTCGCTTGGTAAGTTCAGTTGCCTTGCGTCAGAGTAATTGATGTATTACTTTGCGTTGTGCCTGTGCTTTTTAAAATAATTAATCATGTATCGGCTCACTGCGTCGTGATGCCGCTATTCAATGTCATATGTCAATTCTTAGCAATATATATTTAAAAGCATGCATTGAAAGACAAACATCTGTAAACTGGTGATTGGCTGAAGGGCATGATATTGCCTACGCTCTCAATTTGCGCGCACGCATTTACGTGAAGGGCAGCTGCGACCGCCCACACACTGTAAAATACTTTATTTTCGCTGAAGTAATAATTCAATGAAAATAAACCCAGCGAATATACCTTTTTTTCCTATATTATACATTCAACTTGTCAAAAATCAGTGCAAATAAATTCCATACAAAGCACTAAAATGTCTTTACAGCAAAAATTCCAGCTAAGATAAAGTATCCTACGGTATTACAATTGATGCACTTGTTGATTGTATAATGTTGAACTATCTCAGTAATATTAATTGGACTAACGACGATACCATTTTTACTCGGTCTAACAAATATTTTGATTTACAAAACGTTTACAACGACCATAGCTTTATGTCTTTCATTGTATACACTGTAAATTTAGAAAAAGACTGTGAACTAAATTTACAAAGGTAACATATATGTTTAGATGACAACGAACTGGTATTAGACTGATATCCCTGCCATGTGCAGTGATTCGTTTCCTATGTCGACGCCGCCGTTTTTCACAAGTTAGATCCGGATCGAGTGAATCTCCTGTGACAAGTTTTACGTAATTTAACCTGAAAATACAACTGGACTGCACGCAGTCTGTTTGTTTGTTTGTCTGTCTGTCTGTCTGTGACCGTACCCATATAACATGTTTTTCAGAAATAGCATTATTGTGTCTTACGTGTAAAGCGTCTCCGTCGTTCTATAAAACACTAGTCACGTGGGATACTGGCACAGACTAGTCACAATCGCGTACACACGATATCATTCCCAACACATTCTCGGTAAGATAACAATGTATTTTAATCAAAGGGGCGCCTCTATGTGGCATACACAGATATATACGTATATGCCGGGGGACACTTTAGTCAGAGAAGAGTCGACGTCATCACACAAGTACAAGTGACCTTACACTCCTCAATCGATATTTTTATTGACACAAAATAGTGCGTGTTAACTCCTGAAATCTCTGACATACGCTTGAAATCTTGCGAGCATGGTAATTTCGACCCAAAGTGGACTCGGCATGGACAATTAGTGATGACATAATGCCTACAGATATCAAATATTTTGATTATTTTTATAACACGATCCAGACATGAGATTTAATGACCCATTTCATAAAACTCAAATCTTCTATTATTCGTTAAAACTGTATTCTGAGTACTAAACACGTTAAAGCGCGGTAGTCGTCGCGCTGCGCATGTGCCACGTCTGTGTTGATAAACATTGATTTTCCCGCAATCCAATGCGCTCTTCAAATGGAAATCACAAGTATGAGGTTTGACCTGGGCGCGACTTGTACTGATTACCGCCGGTGACTCCTTCGATACCTTCCAATAACATGAAAATTACTTAATTAAAGCTTGGAAACGTCTCAGTTCGTACTCGTTGGTCTGCACAACAGTCAAAGTCGTCATCTTTGTTTATATGAGACCCATATATAATCGCACATGCGCAGCGTGACGACTACCGCGCTTTAATTTTCAAATATCTGTTACCCTTTTTTACGTGCAGGATTCAGTGCACGCATGCGTCAACACATATAGGACTCGCATCGAACACCACACGTTGTAAAGTCTGTACATGTACACACACATCCAACCCATATTCAACAGCCATGGCGAGTGAGTACACATCGATCTGACTCGAATACCCTCACTGCATCTCTCCGCTACTATCGGTACACCGATTCACTGTTTTTTTCTTCCACGAGAAAATCTGTATAAAACCCAATGCAATCACACTGAACTGTTATCTTACACAAAATCCATTCCGATCACAGCGGGAATTATCGTTTATATACCCCGGGGTTTCCACGATATGTCCCAATAATTTATTCAGTGGCTTTGTGTTAATAATTGATATCCACCCCCGGCATTGATTATCTGAATCTCAGTTCAACCTTTGTACATATCCGCGTAATTCAATGCCTACGTAGTGATCTGAATGCGGAATTCATAATGTATGTGTAAAGATTACCTTCTATACGCGACTCTACATAAATGTGGCTCTTGATTTCATACCCTGAACAATAATCGGTGAGCCTGGTAGCGTTTCTAACATCTTGACCACTCATGTCAGTTAGATAGATAGACCGGAATATCAGCGTATAAAATGAGTTTGTAACATGTACCAATTGTTTGGTTGGACTAATCGGCTGATTGTGATTGTTGTCCAACAGCAATGTAATTCGTAAGTCGTCAATGCAGTTTCTGTTCCCATGAGCCTCATTATGAGTTCCAGCAGGCAACAGAACGCGGCGAGGGCGCTAGATGCCTTCATCGAACGCAACCAGACAATAAACAGTTTAAATGTCTTTATTGTTATTATAAAATAATATAATGGCATGATTCTAGAATAACCATTGTTTCCTCCACAATGTTACAATCTTCAAGACAAGTGGAGATGTCCTGGTGTTACGTCATTGCTCTTCCATAGCTTGACATTGTAGGACAGTGATCATTGATATTAAAGCGGGAGGGTCGTCATCTGCGAACGCGCGGGAATTGAGTTCCAAGCGACCATAACAACATACGCTAAAAACGCAAAGGCCCATGGGTAGACTCTTGTTTGTAAACAATGACACGCTATGGCCATCTGAAGCATGCGCAGGTGACGACTCCCCCGCTTTAAACTTGTCTACAACGGACTACAAACTGAGACGTTACCAAGCTTCAATTATGGTTTTTTTTTAGGTGATTGGAAGGTATCGAACGAATTACTGGCGGTAATTAGTGCAAGGAAAATCAATGTTGATCAACACAAATGTCACATGCGCAGCGCGACGACAGCCGCCCTTCAATATACTGTATTACATGTTCATCGGTAGTACAATAACATCTATTTTGCATTTTTAGAACCGGTATATGTAGTAATGCCAAATGTTTTTGACATATTTGAAGTTTACAAATTATAATGTATGTATCAGTGAAAGGAATGTGGTAAATTTCTTTAATATACGTGTAATGTGTCAATATCGAATAATTATACAAAGCTGATTATTAATGTAATTATGATTTTCACAAAGAACATTTCTCAGTATATTCACACTGTGCATAACACTGGCATATTAAGATTCTAAAGATTCAATTATGGCCACCATTTGAAAACATATACATACTAAATCATTGCAAGAATTACTGAAAAGTAACAGCGGAACATTTCAGTATTCGAAAAATTACAATTTTAACTTTTGAACTAAAAAAGGAGAAATCGATAGTATAGTATGCAAATAAGTAATGTTCAAATGACCTAATAGTTGAATCAATGGACATTCCATTGTATAATGGATAATAAGAGCAAACGATTTTTTAGGAAAAGTTCTACAGCCAAGTGCTCGTATTCTCCTCGATGATCACGTGGTTCAATTTGTTTGATGATTTCGATGCACAATGTGCTACAGTTATCTCAGATTGTGTTGTCTTTTTGCAGCACCTTAACAGACGGACTACATTCTCTTTAAAGTTCCTTCCAACGAACGTATATATAACTGGATTGACGGCGCTGTTAGCGTAGCCTAAACATATACCGACGTAGTCAAATATCACCACGTTGCGGGTTAAGCTGGAGTCACGCCTGAGAAAAATGACGTACACCTTGATGGCGTAGAATGGAAACCAGCATATAGCGAATGTTATAACGGCCACGATCACTAATGTGGCGATGCGCCTTGAGCCTCTGCGCTTTCCCGTTCTCACACCAGGACATTTGTTCTGTGAGACATGGTACAAGATCTTGAAGTAGCATGTGCATATAATGGACAATGGACACATGTATCCTATTGTAAGAGCGTATATGATGAACGTGCTTTGTAAGTTTGAATACGGCCATTGGATAGCACACACCTTGGTGTTGTTCGAGTTTCTGAAGCTGGTGGCGGTATCCGTGTAAATCCACATCGGAATGCAGAGTACAATCGCTGCTATCCAGGCGGCAATGCATGTCAAGCGACACGTCCGGACGGTGCGAATTCGTCGAAATCTTAACGGATGAACAATGGCCAAATGTCGATCAATACTCATGGCTGTTAGCAAAAACACGCCTGCGAATTGGTTGACGCTATCGAAAGGGAAGATAAGTTTGCAAAGAACTCGCCCAAATACCCACTTGCCGGTGCCGTGCTGGAAAGCCAGAAACGGCATGGCCAGCATGAATAGAAAATCGGCGATTGCTAGATTGAGAATAAAAATATTTGGGAGAGAGTTCTTGTTAGAAAATCGCAGTATGACGAGAATAACCAACAAGTTGCCGATGAATCCACACAGACACACGGTGCCGTAGAATATAGGTATGGCAATCGCCAACCGAGCCTGTAAAACTGACCACCAAACCGGCGGTAAAACGTACTCCACCAACGTATCATTCAGTACATCCGTATAAGAGGTGTTGTCCCAATAGTAAGAAATCCCATTCTGTAAAATATCCATGGCTATGTCGCTATGCCCGATCGCCGTAGTCGTGTTTAGTAAGTTTGTTAAATTTGATATTTCAGCGATTTCGTCGCGACTTGAAACATCAGTGCTGTTCCATAGGGTCGCGGTATTCGTCATATTCGTATTCTACCCTAGAATGAACAGCCAGCACAAATTCGTTGAAGATTGTGAAGCGATTACCATTAATTATCAATTGATAGAATGTCACCAATCAATACAATACGCCTTATTGACAATGTTACAATCAGATTTTCTCCCATCCTTCGTGGTGGCGTGTTAAACCAACCAGCCAAGCGTACACACAAAAGTCCGCTGCTTGAATACCTGACAACAACCAACCCAGAGAGAACCAACGAGATTACTCCACATAATAGCTTGTTGCCGTATTGTGTTATTCTATTATGTAGACCGAACACGACTAAATCTCACCAGAAAGAGCTGTGGCGAGATTCAAGCTGAGCTCCCGAAAAAAGAGCATTTGGTGTATTGTCTAACATTTCCACCTGCTGGCAGTTTAGCGATATCGTGCAGGGTTAATTCTTGTTCTTTTATAACGAATTTATAATTGACAAATTAGCCCCATGACATTTCATAAGCTGCAAGTAGACGGCACATTGACACAACGTACTAGGGAGTCGTACGTAAACAGCCACGGACAATCATGTGACGTTACCAAATTAAACTCGTAAGTTCCGTGATGTATTCGAATTAAAAAAATATATACACGAAAAAGTATACAGAGCATTGCGTTACTTTAAAATGACTCATTTGTGAAATATACAGTGCCACCGAAACCACATGATTATACTTATAAATATATTTATACATATTTAAAAACTATTTTTATTATATGAAAAATACTCTCCGTCAAGGTAAAGTTACTATGTTCATGAATAGAACAGTCTTTTTTTCCTGTCAAAGATTTCTTCCAAAAATTCAAGATGGCGGACCAGTTTCAAAATGGCGGACTTTTTAATATGTTTTTGCTTACTGTGGATATGTTATCATTATAATTATACTATTATTTTTCTATCAATGTTTTCTCTTCAGATTTTATGCAAGGAAGCATGTTAGAATATATTGAGACTTGGGGCATGTTGAAAATTTTCCTACAATTCAAGATGGCGGACTAGTTTCAAAATGGCGGACTGTTTAATATATTGTTGCTATACTGTGGAGATTTTATCATTATAATTATACTATTATTTTTCTATCAATGTTTTCTCTTCAGATTTCATGCCAGGGAGCATGTTAGAATATATATTGACTTGGGGCATGTTGAAAATTGTCAAAAAATTCAAGATGGCGGACTAGTTTCAAAATGGCGGACATTTTAATATATTTTCGCTATACTGTGGAGATTTTATCATTATACTATTTTTTTTATCTATCAAAGTTTTCTATCTAGATTTTATGCCAGAAAACATGTAAAATTATATAACACTTGGGGAATGTTGAAAATTCCCCGAAAATTCAAAATGGCGGCCTTTTTAATATATTTTCGCTACACTGTGGAGATACTGCCATTATAATTGTGCTATTGGGGGGGGGGCTATCATAGTTTTTCTTTTCAGACTTCTTGCAAGAAAGCATGTTAGAATATATTAAGATTTGGGGTATGTTATAATATTAAAATTATGGAAAGGACAATATTTCAAAACATAATGAATGTACCTGAAATCCTATTCACAACAATGTGCCCTCTCAAACATTGTTAACATAACACCTTTTATTATTTTACTAAAATTTCATTTATTCGCCCACAAATAGTATCTATTCTGTTTTAGTAATGTAATGAAATCAGGGTTTCTTGTACTTTATGGATTTGGTTTATTGAATACTCTTATTAGTCTCTCTCGCTGTAATCTCACTACACTTGGCAGTGGAGTGGGCATTGCTACCAAAGTGCTTTGCATTCGGGAATAAAAACTATGCCCGTTATCTGACATTTCAACACGTTAAGCTGCAAGATATCAAAAGTAAGCAAACAGTAGCATGGAATGATCTTCTAGTTAATGGTTTTGGTGGTTCAGTCTCTGGCAAGCCATTCTCAATCATCCATGGCGACTTAATAACTGAAACAACAATTAATATAACAAAAAAGTAAAGATTAGAGGGGGCCTATGCAAGGAGGACTTAGTACAAACGGAAAAGCTGTTGGTACGTTTGTGAAAACCAGTCACTCTATGACTACAGTTCGAGTTAAACTAAAGGAACGTTTGAAAGTGCACACGAAAACAACTGTTGGAGCAATTACGAAGCACGAGACTATGATTGAAAGTCTAGTCCTGCAGCTGGACACATATTTTGACCCATTTCTTCAGGGTCCTGCGAGACATTTCAAAACTGGAGCACAACTAGAGCCAGGTGTAGTCAAGGGTATATTGAGTTCTTATGCGATGGGAGAAGACACATGTATATTGAGTTTGTTGATGAACTACTCAAAACCACAGACAACAGAGTCAGCATTATTGCACCAATAAAGAACCCTAAACTCAAATTGGTGTGGGGCGAACAAAAAAGTTCCAAAAGCAGTGAGTGTTCTCAAAGAAGACATACAATAATTTGGTGTTCTTGTTGGTAAAGTTGCGAGTCCAAAGGAAGCAAACTCCTACCATCTAACTAGTGTTCCACTCGCATTAGCTTCACCTGATAGAGATCTCAGACAAGGTTGGTAATCATCTCTAGAATTACCTGATAGACGAATCGAATGTTGAGGT